GTCTTTCTTGGGTATTTTTCATTTCATCTCGGTTATCGCTACTTTGATGTGGTGAATAATCGTCTTTATGTTGTTCGTCATGTCGAGTTTGATGAGTAACTCTTTCCCTTTAAATGCCCTATCTCCAGTTCTCCATCTTCGCAGCCGGAGTCAGCCATTCTGGAGAAATGTTACTCATCTCCATTTGAAGGCCATTTCAGTGGATAAAGGATAGCAGCAAAGATTCTTAAATCAGGTTTTTTCTGGCCCACTTTATTTTCTGATGCTAATAAGTTTGTTAAATGTTGTGATAAGTGCAAAGGTCAAGAAATATATGCTGGAGGAATGAACTTCACAACAGATGATACTTGAGATCAAATTGTTTAATGTATGGGGAATTGGTTTCGTGGGACCATTTGAATCATCAAGCAACAACACATGCATCCTCATGGCAGTAGATTATGTCTCGAAATGAGTAGAAGCAGCAGCTGTTCAGTCCAGTGATGCCAAGATTGTGATCAGATTCCTGAAAAGGAATATTTTCTTTAGATTTGGTACTCCTATAGTGATCATCAATGATGAAGGATCACACTTCTACAACAAAAGCTTCTCGGCTCTTGTTAGAAAGTTTGGAATTCAACACAGAGTGTCTACTGCATACCAGCCTCAGATAAATAGACAAGCTAAGTGTCCAACAGAGAAATCAAGAGGATATTGGAGAAAGTGGTATGCAGCACTAGAAAGGACTAGGCATTCAGACTTGATGAGGTTCTGTGGGCTTACAAGATAGCATACAAGACCCTCATAGGCATGTCTCCCTAGTTTATGAAAAGGCTTGTCACCTGCCTGTTGAGCTAGAACATAAAGCTTTCTGGGCAATCAAGGAACTAAACTAAGAAGTAGAAGCTGTGATTGGGAAGAGATTACTGCAACTGGATGAAATGGAGGAGTTCAGGCAGAATGCTCAAGAATCATCGAGGATCTACAAGGAAAGGACCAAAGCTTACCATGACAGAAGATTGGTGAAAAAGCATCTAGACGAAGGTCAGTTAGTGTTATTGTATAACTCTAAATTTTTATTGTTTTCAAGTAAACTCAAGTCAAGGCAGTCTAGTCCATTTGAAATAAAAAAGATCCAGAATCAAGGAGCAGTAAGATAAGCTAATTTGGAAGATGGCATATATTCCTTTTCAATGGACAGAGACCGAAGCCATACAATCCAATGCAGAAGGCAAAAATACAGCACAAGGATGTGTTGTATCTCCAAGAATCAGAATGAAAACATTGAGTCTGGTATGAGATGCTAAACCAATGCGCTACTTGGGAGGCAACCCAAGGTAAGATATTTTGTTCTTGTTATTTCAGTTTTAGTTCTTTAACCTTTTGTTAATAACTCAATCTGTTGCAAGTATTCAGAAAGAGTGGAAACACTGTTATCAGAAAATCTTTAGGTGGATTTTATAGGTGTTGATTTGAAGTGCCTTACCGACTATGATATGAAGAAAATCATAGAAAATGACAGTCTCTAACTTGGGCAAGTGAATAACTCACTTCCGCGAGTGATTGATTGACCAAAACAGCCAAAAGACATGGTCCACATTTTGTATTTTTTAGAAAATGAAGAAGGAGGGAAACTCATTTTAAAAAGCACTAAGGTGATTGATGGGCGGATCAGTCTGAATTAAATGATGACAAACCTGGGGAAGTGGATCATCCCCACTCTAAACAAAACGGCAAACCCACGTCCCCTTAAACCTCAACTCCTACTCTTCCTTTTCTCTGCCACACCTCCATGATGGTCTATAAATAAGAAGCTCTAGCCTGTATTCCAAACAACCACGATCTCTGAAACATTGTATGCTCAAATCCCTTAAATGAAACCCCCAGATGAAGCCTTCATTTCCCATTTCCAGTTCACCATTGTAAAGATCCCAATACATCAAATGGCCAAAGTAAAACAAACGGCTAGAAAGAGAACTATTCATATCCAGGGTATTGGTGCCATGACTCCACCTCATCTACTCCACAATCCAACCAGAGCCTAGAGAGAAGCTCATAGAAACATCATCTGAGGAATCAGAAACTCTGGCTTAGTCCCAAACCCAGACGGAGCAATATTCTATCAAAGGACATGGGAGAGAAAAGCAGTGATAGAAAGAGGTGTGGATATCACAGTAGATCCACATTTCTATATCATCTAACATCAATGGCAAGGTTTGGGCACAGTTACAGTGCAGCCCAACCTTACTACAATAAGAGAATTTTACAGTAACTTCTAGGGGGCTGCAGGGGACTAGATTGTGGTACGAGGAAGAAATGTCAATATCTACCCTACAGTCATTAGAGAAATTCTCCAACTGCCTCTAATTAACATTGATTATTAAGAAATGGTACACAAGATGATAGATTTCACTCCAGGAGAAGAATTGCCAAATGTACTCTGCAAAAATGCCCTAGAAGACATATGGAAGGTTAATCGTCATGGTTTCCTTAGGCATTTCCCCGCTTCAGAACTCAAACAAGAGTAAAAGCCATGGTTCAACTTTATCTGCACCAATTTGATACCAACTCGGAACAGAGGGCTGGTAACTTTTGATGCAGCAATCTTGCTTTATGCTATTGTCCGCAACATTCCAGTGGATGCTGCTACATTAATTAGGCGGCAGATGCATAATTGCTTGAGAATAAGGAAGAAAAATTGGTTCTTTCCAGTCCTCTTCACCAAATTGATGATCAGAGCAAATGTGCAATGTTTGCACAGTGACGAAAGAGGAGACATTCCAGCACCATGGAGGTTAGAAGGCCCACCCCATCCCTTTGCAGTGATGAACCCCTGATCACCCAGGGAAGTATTTTTTTTCTTTTTCAGTTTCCTTTTTAATTTTTTGTATAGTTTGAATAATTTTAGTTTTCTGTTTGCATCTTAGAGTAAATTGCATGTATTATTGTTTATAATTTTGCGTTTGCTCTTTCCCATGTTCCTTTGTTTGTAAGCATTAGGGACAATGCTTATTTTAAGTTTGGGGGGAGATTTGCAATTGTGTTCTGTGTCAGAATTTGTACATATGTGTCTGTTTGTGGATTGTTAAAGTATGACAGGATCATTTTGAAAAACAAAAAAAAAATGCTATGTTTTTATGTGTCTGAAAAAAAATGCTATGAGTGGCTAAACTCATTCTGGGGTTTAATCCCACTATCTGTATGTGAATGTTTGATTCAAGTTCTTATATGAAGCATTGTATCTAGTTTGAGTACTTTAATCAATCTATTAGTTAAACTGGCCACTTAGCTAATTGTGCATGAATAATTATGGAATCTTGAGAGAGTGGACATAGTTTTTGAACTGCTTAAACTAGTCTATGATGGTGAAATATCAACCATTGTTTCCGGACATCAATGATAGTTAGTTGATTGGCATAGGTGATTACTAGGGCTTAAGTAATGAATGGCTCGGAGTAATGAATAATTATCATAGAGATGGAGGTAATTTGGTTAAACGTGGACTCGTTAATGGTATCGAGTGTGAAGGTAGAGAAAATATGTATCTGATCAGACAATGCTCATGTGTGCAAAAAGAACTAATTAAATCAATACATGAACATATTGATAGGAAAGATGAGGACCCCGGTTTCTTCTAACTCTGACAAGTGACTTTCTCACTTTCCCAAGTGACAATCTATTCTGTTTACTTTTTCATTTTACACTTTGATCAATTTTTATTGATTTACTATCGTTCCTATGGGTCAAACCTGCTTATTGCTATTTAATAGTTTTGAATAGGTTAATTTTCTTTTTCAGTGGTGTCAACGATTCTCCCACACCAAGTTGGAGTAGAAAAGAAACAACAAAGGAATTCCATCTTCCAAATCCGCACTTCAAAATACGTATGAAATTAAGGGCTCTTCTACCAAACAAATGGGTATATTTCAAGCAAGTTCGACCAGTAGATAAAAACTGCAGAATGGTTCACCAATCAATTTAGTTCCTCTTAATTGCAGGAAAATTCTTGCCGGCATGCAAAGGGTGAAGCAGAGCAGCCGAGAAGGCAGGAGAGGGTCTCGACGGAAGGTGACTGATGTTTGTTGTAGAGAGACAACATTCTAAACTTTATTACAAGATTACTCCCTTTAGTTTGCCTTAAATAAATGATAGATGAATGAATAAATTTATGAGCAAGATAAATGATAGAAGTTACTCTCTTTGTTCCAAATGATGATCCAATTTAAAATTTTTATTTTTAGTATTATGATAGATGAAATATTATAAAGAAACCTTAAATGATTATATCACTTTTATTACTTAATGTGTTTTAGAAGTATCTGAAAAACTTTGAATATTGTATCTAGAAAAAAAAAAAAAGAAAATACGAAATTAGAATATAGTTGGAAAAAATAAAGAGAGGGAATTCTATCTTTTGGTGTCTAGGGTGTACTTTTGGGAACAAAAGTAATAGAGGTAAAGGAATGATGCAACTTGATTTTTTGCCACAATTTCTTCTTTTTGGTATAAAGAAAGAAACCAAAATCTGAAAACTAGAAATAAAATACTATATATATATATATATAAACACTAATTATATCGTGTTCTAAACACCAAACCGACTCCTTGAGGGAATAACAAGATGTTGGAATTCACTTGGACTTGTATAAGCAATCGTTGATAAATGATTAATTGAAAAATTCGTCTCTCCAAATACATGTTGTAAATTAAAAGCCTAATAACTGATGTCGCGAATGCTTCGAACTAATCACCATGAATCTCTAAATCTTCATCGAGACCTTGTACCATTGTACCATTGCCACAATTTCTTCCGATCATGTACATCCAGCACTTTGGTAAATGAAATTTATGATAAATTCATAACTCTAAATTTAGAAAAATTTAATTACTACTAATTTTAGCAAACGGGTCTTAAGATAAAACAGACGTGCTAGTCCAATTATAAACTTTTGGGCCGGTTGTCAATCAGCCCAACGACTCTCTCTGACTATGCTCTTTCAAAAGTTTAAAAACAGAAAACCCTTTTGAAAAAATCTGGGCATTTGAACAAGAGAATCGATTCGCTTCCCCCGAGTTTCTGACTTCTCAGTTCGTGGAGAAATTTTGTTCCCGTTTTTTATTCATCAAATTGAAATAAAAATGGAAGACATTGAAGATTTACTAGTTGGAAATGGTGGTGCCGGAGGTGAAGTTGCTCCTGGGTTCCGGCTGCCGGTGGCGGCGGCCGTCGGGATCAATCCCAAGCAGACTAAGAAGAAGAAGAGTAATCAAGACAGTGTTCCCAAACCTTCCCTCAGTATCCCGGGCACCCAGGTGATTCTGCAGTTTTTTGCTGTTTATGGGTTTATTGGGTTTAAATGGGTTATGGATATGACATGATTGTTTTTGCTGATGTTTGATTTTTTTCTTTTTCCTATAATGATTTTGCAGACTATTTATATCAAGACTTTTGGGTGCTCTCATAATCAGGTAAAATAATCTTCTGGGTTTCTGATTGGTTTTTGTAATGCGTTTCTGTACTTTGCCGTTATGATTAATGATAGTTGCTTTTTTTGTCACTTGTTTGAGATATTAAGCCTATGTTATATGTTTATTGAAATGTGTTGCTTGGGGAATTTGTGTTTTAGCTAATTAAAGAGAAAATGTTGGAAAAAAGCTCTTTGCTGATTGGCTGATATGGGGTTTGGAGTTAGGTCTGAGGTTGCAATGAGGCAGTTTGAGAGTTTAAGTTGCCTGCCCTTGTCGGCAACTGGAATCTATGTAGGAAGGAATACAAAGCTTTAGGGCAATATTTTCTTATTTTCTATGTAGCCACATAAGGAGAATGTCTTCTGGTCATTGAACTATTAAATTCATAGAGCAGTTGGTTGGTCATACTCAAGGTGTGTCATATATAAGATCCCATATACTGTACCTGAATTTACATGGCAGGATTAAATGCTGAAACTCTGTCTTGCCATACTTCCTTTACATCTTAGTGCAAAGTTGGAATATGACCATTGTCTATCAAACAAATAAATAGTACCACTGTTATATGACAGTAGGCAGAAAAAGATGGACACGTTTATTGCTATTCTGGATAAATTGGTAAACCAGTACCACATAGGAACTGTCAACTTCTCTGGATGCCATGTCAATGGAATTTGTGCATCATTCTGAGATCTGGATAGTTAAGCGACTTTGCGCTGACTAGAATTTCCTATCACGACTTCAGGAAATGTTCAACTTTTTAATCCATTCTTGCTTATATCTGAGATCGAGTCCTATTATGATAACTGGAATCTGTCCCTGTACTATCTACTCAAGACAGTTTGTTCAGTAGGAGCCAGAATACTCTATATTGGTTGTTGCACTTGGGTAATTTTGCATTTATCTTTTAATCAAAGTTTTTCACCAGTGAGTGCAACTTTCGGTGAACTTGGATTTGTTGTGCCCTTCATTATTCTTGATCCGATTATAATTTTCCTATTTGTTAATAATGCAATTCCCTCCTTATCTCTAGTTATAGCGATTAATCTTTTAGATTCTTTGACTTTTCCTACCAGAGTGACAGCGAATACATGGCAGGTCAACTTTCAGCCTTTGGTTATGTTTTGTCCGACAATCCAGATGATGCTGACTTGTGGCTTATTAACACGTGAGACATCTATTTGACTTTAATATTTTGTATTCTCTTACCCAGAATTATAATTTTTGCTTACCTTCAGTTTGTGATTCCCAAATTAGATATTCCTGTTAAGTAGAATCTAGTCATCCTTTACCAGTAAACCAAAATAGTTTTGTAGAGATCTAGATATATGTTAAGGAAGATTTGCCAATCGGTCACGTAACGTCCTGTATTTCTGCAATTACTGATTCTCTTTATCGCTCCCAAATGCAATATCGTTTTGAAAATAACTCAACCCTATCTGTTTTCTTCTCTTTTTTTTTTTCCCGTTTCTTTTGTAATGAATTTTTCTTGCATGACGGGATCTTGATTTCGAAATCAAGCTGTCAAGGGCTTGTGGTGTTTTTTTTTCTTGTCCTTTATTCTTTAGTGATGGATTTATTATTTGAGGAGTAAGCATTTGCATGCGGAAAGCTAATTTATCGAGCAACCTTTTGCTGAAATGTGTCTGAGTTTCGTTTTCTGCTGCTTATGATGCAGTTGTACAGTCAAGTCCCCAAGCCAGTCTGCAATGGAAACCTTGATTACAAGATGTAAAAATGCTAAGAAGCCTCTGGTGGTGGCAGGATGTGTGCCTCAAGGAAGCCGTGATCTAAAAGATCTGGAAGGTGTTAGCATAGTTGGAGTTCAGCAAATTGACCGGGTGGTGGAAGTTGTGGAAGAGACACTTAAAGGTCACGAGGTTCGACTTTTGACCCGTAGGACATTACCCGCACTTGACCTTCCAAAGGTAAGGATTTGGATGTCAATGATGTTGCCTTCAATTTAGGGACTGTTGGAAATCATAGATGTTTATCAATTCTTATTCTGTTGGTCTCTTATGTTTGCCGGACTTCTTTTTCTTGGTAGGTTAGGAGAAACAAGTTTGTGGAAATTCTGCCCATTAATGTTGGCTGTTTGGGTGCTTGTACCTATTGCAAGACAAAGCATGCTCGTGGACATTTAGGAAGCTATACTGTTGAAAGCCTTGTATGTACCTCTGTTTTGCTGTAATTTTTCAATTTGATTATGATTACTGTTCTAAACTAATTTTAAACTTCAGGTAGATCGTGTGAAAGGTGTAATGGCTGATGGAGTAAAGGAGATTTGGTTGAGTAGCGAGGACACTGGAGCATATGGTAATTACAAGAACTATTTATGGCTCATCTGAACTGCTAGTGCTTAATATTGAATTTGGGTGTTAAGGGTGCTACTTCCATGCAACCTTTTCCTGGTATAATAGGATCTATAGTAGAAATTATCTAGTACAAATCTAATAAAAAGGATCTGGTAGTATATTTCTCAACTAACAAAGATCTCATATGTCGTATAAGAAAGATTTCAAAATATATTTTTTTAGGATTTATTTAAGCAAGCACCTTTGTTATTGCCTAAGATCTTGTTTCTGTTAACACTCTGGTGCTTGCTTCTTGTCGGAAACTGTCCCTTGTTTTTTTTAATTGATAATTTTATTAACAAAAAAAGAGGTTTCAATCCATGGCATGAATCACTAAAAGTTTTATTCTGGAGTGAAACTTTTAATGTCATTGCATCTCTGATCTCATTTAAAAATGTAAGAAATGGATCTAAGGATTAACATACTGGTTTCAGTAAAATTAAGTTCATATTGGATTTTAAAGTTGTAATGCTCCGAATAATTTTACAGGTCGTGATATTGGAGTTAATCTTCCAATCCTCCTAGATGCTATCGTTGCAGTTCTTCCTCCACATGGAAGCACAATGCTTCGAATTGGGATGACAAATCCTCCATACATTCTTGAGCACTTGAAGGAAATAGCTAATGTTTTGCGGCATCCGTCTGTGTATTCCTTTCTACATGTTCCTGTCCAATCTGGAAGTGATTCTGTGTTGAAAGTAAGTGTGGTCTCCAAATGGCGTACTGCATTGCGGGCTTCCTGCTGATTCCTTTTCTAGAATATTGTTTTTCTTGTTGTGAGATTGCCTGGCAACTCTTACTGACATTAAACGTGCTTTTTCTTCCTTTTCTGAATGTATTTATTCAGGCAATGAACCGTGAATACACTGTGAGTGAGTTCAGGAAAGTGGCAGACACATTGATTGCATTGGTCCCTGGAATGCAGATTGCCACAGATATAATTTGCGGATTTCCTGGTTTGTTTTGAGAATAACTCCTATATTGCATTGTTTTGCATATTGTTTCTGTTGTGTTCTTATATATCATTAGTTGGCCAAATTGATTCTCCTACCTACATAAGAAAGGTGTTTGCATTTGTCATATATAATTGTCTTATTATAAGTCCAAAGATAAGTTATTTACCAATGCATTTGGGACTCTGTTACGGATAAACGACATGTTCTTAATTTCTTTATGGGAGGTCATAATGGAATTCAAATACATTTTAATTTTGTGAACTGGTTTCACCTTAACGTTTGTGTTCAAGTTGGAAAATGCTCAACTTTCTTTTAACCATATTAACGGGTTTGGTTCCACATATTCGTTATCTATTTGAGGTTACCCCTTGTTTGTTTTTTGCTTCTGCTGTTTTAATTACAATATAGGTGCTGATTGAAATTCTGTACGAGTTTTCTTGCTTTTAATTTTCAGGTGAAACTGATGAAGATTTTGCTGAAACTGTGAATCTCATCAAAGAATACAAACTTGCTCAAGTTCATATATCACAATTTTATCCTCGCCCTGGTATGGAGGTTTTTTTCCACGCTTAAAATTTTAGGTTGTCCGCCTGTCTTTTCGTGAACTGTTGATGTTTTTGTGTTATAATGCGTCCTTAAAATAAACTGTTGAAGCTTCATGGAGGTTATAAGTCAGACTCGATAAAGTGTTGATACTACTTAAGCCATTATGATATATTTTTCCTATTTTGATCAGGTACACCGGCTGCTAGAATGAAAAAAGTTCCAAGTAATGTGGTGAAGAAACGAAGTCGGGAACTGACTGCTGTATTTGAGTCTTTCACTCCATATACTGGAATGGAGGGCAAAGTGGAGAGGATATGGATAACTGAATTTGCTACTGATGGAATTCACTTGGTAAGCTATGATATATATACACGCCAAGCTTCATTGATTTGAACAATTATCATCTTGATTTACAGCCATCATGCTCTATTGGAAAGGAAATTTTATTATGACTTGACATTTGTCTATGTTTTCATTTTGGGTTAATTTTTGTATATGGGGTGATATTGTGATTTCTAAGTGCTGGTGGAAATTGAAATTCTCCCTTAACTTGTATAAGCCTTAGAGCACTTATGAGCTGTCCTTCTGACGAATTACTATTCGCTGCTTTAGATCCCAATTGCCTCTATGAATATCAGTAGTACTAGTTGAAAGTACTAAGTCTCTTGTTGATGCAAGATTAGTACATGCTAATTGTGAATGCTTTAAGTTTTGAATGCTTTGGCAGTTGTCTTATTGCTTCTACTTGCATTAGGTGGGACACACAAAGGGATACATTCAAGTGCTTGTGACTGGTCCAGAAACTATGTTGGGAACATCGGCCATGGTGAAGATAACATCTGTTGGTAGGTGGTCAGTTTTTGGAGAAGTGATCGAGATTCTCAGTCAAGCGAATAATGTAGTTACAGATGTGGGACGTGCTGTTGAAAACTCATCTTGCTCAAATCCAGATTCCTGTGCTTGCACAAAAGAACCTGAACCATGTGGGTGTGAAACATCTAGTTGTTGTGGACAAGTGCAAGAAGTTGAAAACCCAGTTTCCGCTTCAGCAAAGTCATCGACCCAAAGTAGCCAAAACCTCATTGGTTGGATACTCAGGAAGCGGAAAAACCTTCACGAGGCTGATACTGCGGGCGTGCTTGAGTTTAAAGAACAGCAAAAAGGGGCTCTGGCAAGGAAGCCTGATTGGAATCCTGTTGACAAAATTCTTTTAGGGGGTGTTTTTGTGAGTTTGATGACAATCTTAGGATTATTTTTGTACTTGGGTCTATAGGCTCTTAATTTTTTTATGTCAAGAATCTTATTTAGAAGCAAGGTATGAGGGATGCCAAAAAGGACTAGTTCCAGATTTTTTGTGATTCCACAGGGAGAGAACATTCATATTGACGAATTCTCTGATTTTGATAGCTGTATGTAACATATCCCATGTAAGATGGTTCTTGTTGATTTAGTTCAATTGAAGCCTAGTGAGTTGATTCTAAAATACCAGGAAAAATCAAAATTCTCATTTACATCGTTATGATTGAAGATACCTACAATTCGTGTGAAAGCACATATATCTGCAGTACATCTGGAAGTTTTGCCAATAGGCAAAAAGATTCAAAGAAATAATACAATTGTTAATCAAGTACAGTGATTCAAAATTCAGGGGGCTGATTAACCTCTGCAGATGGAAGCAGCTAAAAAGAGATTATGCTGCATCCTCGTGTGTACTTCTGCTGTCTTTTATTGGGGGATTATTCAGCAAAGGGAAACTATCTGCTTTACAATTAAAATGGTATTAACTTCTCAAAGCAGCATATCTGATTTTGCAGGTAGTCTCTTGAAGAAATTGACAGGAACTGATGGTAATTTACTCCTGAACCGCGGATGGCGAAGCCAGTACAGCCCAAACAGCACTGCCACCACCTGGAATGGAGTAACATACAGGAACACAGCGCAGAACAAGGCAAGTATGATGACTATAGCAGTAGCCCTCGGGTCCCTCCAACTTAATATGGAAAGCGCCCTTTCACCTTGTGTTGCCAAATCTCCAATCACACTTTGCACCCTGCCTGCCACACTTCGCAGCCGATCATACCTCATCCTCACAAGATCTGTTGGGCGCGAAGTTGGGAATGTATCAAACTCCTCATCAAGTTCATCTGGATGAGCATTTTCAGCCTGAGATAACCGAGCATCCATGTGGGGTGGATTCCTAGGCCGAAACCGATAGTTCCATAAGCCAATGACAAACAGGTAGAGGAAAATTGTGGGCAAGATCAATTCGGGATAGCACACCAGTATCAAGAACAGCACATGAACAAGGATAGTTGTCAAAGGATTTTTCCAATAACAGATACTATCCAACCATCGACAGACTGCTGTAATCCCTGACAGGAGTGACATTATTCGGTGGAAGTTAGCTTTGCTCCTCCTCAAGCTAAACATATGATAATCCACATCCAACATATATTCCACAGTTTCCCTCCTGAGGGGTGGCTCTGCTCTGGATAGCCTTGCAGCCACAATCTGCATTGCCTGATGGCGCAACCAATCAATGTGCCTAACCGATATAGGCTGAACATAGTGCATCTTGGGAAGTAAGGGCCTCCCGTATTGGGCAACCATATTAACCCAAGCTGTACAAGTGAACCTCAATGCCAAGTGAAGCTCCCCATGCTTCTTTAAGCCGGATGGCTGAAGAACCAGCAAGGGGTAATAATGTGTATAAATCCGATCAGTTTCTAAGGTTGAAAGCCGAATTCTAACCTTACCTATCCTCTGATCCCTTGCATCATCTTTGCTTCCATTGACATGGCTATTATCAAAAACCCCTATGGTAATCACAGTACATGGATCATAAACTTCCCAAGTATACTGCTCATTCCATTTAGGGGTCAGAGTATCAAGAAGTGTTCGAGTTCGAACCCACTTGTTCCCATACTTAGCTACACAATATGCATCCGTGGTTCTACCATCCTTGCTCTTCATTGGCAGCAAATTTTTTGCACTCAAAATACCCAATTCGAGAATCCCAATACTAGGCTTTCTCAGATGTTTGGAAGATGGCTGCAAATCACTGCTAAAATGGGTGGACTCATCCAAGACATGGTATCCAGCATCTATACACATCCGAAGATAAATTTTGCTGGAAAACTTTATTTCCTTCTTCTTCTCAAGTTCTTCTTCCGCCGATGAAGGCTTGAGGAGATTACACCAGCGAGCCTCAGGAAGCTTAGGAAGCTCCCCTCTCTGTGCAACTTCTCTGACTGGTATAAACAGCCTACCAATGATCTCATCTTTGCCTGGTCCAACCTTATCATCAACAGTGATAACAATACACTCATCAAAAGGCTCACCCACAACAAACATCAATTCTTCATTCCAAACTGGATTATAAGTCCCCATTTGTGAAGGCCTGGTAGCTCTGCCTTGATGTCCAACCTGAATCTTCACTGTTGCAACTGGTGGCCTGCCCTTCTCAGATGGCAGAAGATCCTGAGCTTCAATAACATGAATACGGAGATAATACAATTTAGGAGAAAAGTACACTTTTGATCTCGTGTTAGCAAGAATCTGCTGACTAACACTGTGAGCATCAGAATGCCAAGCCTCGGGAAATGCTTCATCAGCTTGAGTCCCCATCCAAACTGCAAGCATAAGCTCCCCTAAATTATGAACCTTTTGCCCCTTCTTGTCCTCCAATCTATACCATTGAGGAGCCAGAGGACTATCAGGTGGAACCCTAGTAGGAACATCCACAATATCAAACACAACTCTACCCACAAAATCATCTTTTCCAATATCCTTATCCTTCACAGTGATCTCAATCAAATTGGACTGCAACCTTTCCCTAGAGAAAGCAAAAACTCTGTTCCAAACTGGATACTGATTCTTCTCCAAATGATTGGTAACCCCTTTGTAATTCCCAACTTTCACTTCAACATATGGATCAAGACTCCCGGATATATCCATAACTGGAAGATCCCTAGCCTTCACAACTTGAACATACAGAAATTGCATCTGTTCCACCATGTCATAAGTACTTGCAGTCTTGTCTCTGCCCCAGTATCCCATCCTAGCTGCCACCGGCGGCTTAGTCTCCACCAACCCGAATTCGGGTTTTTGGCCCGGAACCTGCATATGCATTACAGTGGTAGGTCCGGCTTTAGCAAAATCACTTCTTGTTTCCACAATGACTGGCTTTTCCGCCGGAGGTGGAGGAGGACCGCCACCAGAACCAAGAGAGTAAAATGTCCTCACTTCTTTCTCCTTCTTTTTCTTCTTCTTACTATCGGTGTAACCCTTGAATTCACCACCCAGCTTATTAGGATTGATTTCTTGAAGTGGGGTTTCTATATTTTCCCCAAAATTCACATTCACCGGAGGAGGCGCCGGCGGTGACTGAAACTGCTGCTGCGGTTGCTGTGCCTGTTGTACCGGCGGCGATTGGAATAGTTCTTCAGGTTCAAATACTGGACCTCCACCACCACCGCCACCACCACCACCGCCGCCGGGGACGGCGTAGATTTTCAATGCAATATCACCCTTTATATGAGAAAAGATCCCCCTTTTATCAAGAGGGTACCTCTGAACCGAAGCCTCAGACTCGGAAAAAGGGACGAACACGCCGGAAACCTTAACCCTTCCGAGGAAATTCCGGTGGTGGCCGTGTTGACGATCATTGTACACGTAGACTTCAATGGTTTTGTCAGCGAGATTGGAGGGATTCTGAACGTTAAAAACCAAGGTCTCGTTCCAAACAGGGTTGAGATCTCTAGGCTTGATTTGGGTCCTCTGTTTCTGACCATCAAACTCTACTTCCACAAATGGGCTTGCTGAACCTTGCCCATCTTTAGGCATAAGATCACTGGCATCAAGAACTTCAACTACAAGTTGAGCCATTTCAAAAAAATCAAATCACAAAAAAAAGATTAAAAATAGTAAAAAAATGTACAGTCTTTGGCTCCGGGAAAAAGGGGTTAAAGTCCTCAAGATGGAATTTTTTTAGGTGGGAAAAGGAAGAAAGAGAAAAAAAGAGTGAAATTAAAGGAGAAGACAGGAAAGGAAAGAATGGAATAATTTAGTCCGGCAAGGAGGAGGAGGAAAATGTGGCGGAGGAAAGTGGTGCACGGTGGTGGAAAAGGGGGGGGTTGGGTTGGTGGGAGGAGGGGGGGGTGGGCTGCTATGAGTTTTTGGAATTTAAGAAAGAAAGAAACAGAAAAACAGTGAATCAGAAGAGATATAGATGTGTGATTAATAATTAATGTTTTGGAAGTGAAAAATCTATTTGTCTACCATCTGGAACCGAGAGTAATGTGTGTCTCTGACAGACAGCAACTAATGTTTTCCATTTATTTTTTTTTATTTCTTCCACATTTTTGCTTCGGAAATATAAAATGCACATATAAAAAAAGGTCAAATTGTAACACAGTTCATTCGAAAATTTTTTAAAGAAAATATTGGCAGTTTACCGATTTTATTTTACGCAAAAGAAAACTGTTGGCCACAGAGTAGCTACGAAGTAGTCTGTCATTTTTTCAAATAAGTCTCATAATAAACATGTATACTCTTTCAAAACAAATTCAATCTATCTGAATTGGATGACATTATTTTGAGCGTATTGTGGAGTCATTTAAATTTCTAAAAGTATGTACTAGAAAAAACGTTATATAAACAGTATAAAATTCAAAACTTAATGTGTAATATTTTTTTTTACGGATATAGTAATAAACTCTTTAGTTAAGAAGTGTGGTTGAACATTACAAATTCATTCTGTTTTAGTTAAAATTCAAAAGACCCACATTTGACAAGGAATTAATGGTTGTTGCCTGTTCGTTAAATAAATAAATATAAGAGGCTTTTTTCTTATGGATATGTCATTTTCAAGGAGGTTATGGCTTATGGGGAGCGGGATTCCTATGTCTTTTGGAATTTAGGACTGCAATGATATTTGTTTTTTAATTTAACAAGAGTATTCTAAGAATAGTGACATTTTACTTTTCTGGGTGTTAATTAACAGATAAACATTAGAGAAATCGGGACTTTATGTGAATTTTAAAGGTAAAGTATTGGATCACCATTAAGATCTGTTGGTCTTTCAAGTCAAAGAAGAATTCCTAAATTAATCGCAGCCTACGCTACCTGTTCGGTGCCAGATGGTGGAAGAGAAAATGACCCAAAGACAATTTAGACAGCAACGTCTTCGATCCTTTTTGCTGTTTGAATCTGTTTGCACAATTTTCGTGCTAGGAAAATTACAGAATATATCTTTTAAACGATTATGTGTTGTTCTTAATAACTTGCACTAACAAATTGACTATATGAATTTTTCGGAAAAAATAAGAATCGGCCAAACACCAGATTCTATTGTAATCTTTGGACGAATAAGTACAGTCGCCGATAATCGGCCTAATTGAGGAGTTCTTGAAGAACCCTAGCTTTACAGATGAAATCAAAAATAAAAAACTGAAAATTAAAGAAGCAATTTGATGCTATTTTGATTGTGTCCTTTCTCCTACCGCCGATCTCTTTAAATAGTTCTCGAATCCTAGTCGGTTCACAATTCTAATCAACACTAACTAGGTCTCTTTCTTCAAATCGGACTCTAAACCTTCTAGAAGCCTGATTCGTGGCCTTCCACTTCGCCTAATCCGGCCCAAATCCTTACCAAGCCCTTTTAAAGCCCAGCCGGAAAAAACTGGTCCAACATAATGCCCTCGAGAAAAATTGAGAAATGTATTGAACAAGTTTTCTAATCTTCCCGGGCAAAATTCAAATACAGAATCCTTCCCTTCTTAATTCAAGTCATAAAAATCCACACAAACCCTGGTCTTACCATTCTTCTTAATTACCGGTACCACATTCGCTAGCCAGTCCGGATAAACCACCACTTCTATAAAACCAACCGCCAATAACCTTAATATTTCCTCCTTGATTTTAACGGTTACTTCATCTGAGAACTTTCGTGGCACCTGTTGTTTTGGCTTGAATTTCTTCTTCATGGGAATCGTGTGCTCAATCAAGCTACGATCCAACCCCGACATTTCGGTGTAATCCCAAGCAAAACAGTCCCGATATTCCATCAACACTTTTGTTAATGCTTTTTTTCTGCTCATCATAAAGTACTGCACTTATGAACATCGATTTCTGTTCCTCGCCAATGCCCAAATTGACCGATTCTATCGGTTCCTTTGTTACCACGGCGTCATCCTCAAGCTTATTACTTGCTTTTGCTAATTCTGATAGTTCAATATTATCATATCCAACTGAGACTTCATATTCACACATGGTATCCAATATACATAATGCCAATGATTCTAACCAATAAATTATTGGATCACTTATCATCATCGGAAACTTCTTCAATAATCAGTCCAGCATCCTCTGACTTAGGTGCCAAATACTGGCATGGCCTGCGAATCTCTTGCAGAAACATCTTCCATTCTCTGATCCCTATATTCTTCATAGGCGTTGCGGTCATAGGTTTACTGTATTTATCAATTCCTAGCAACCTATACGAACCAACATCTTTTTCATAATAAAATGCTTCAGCCGCATTGCTTTGCACTGTGAATAGTTTAGCATCGGCCTTTATCACCTTTGGTCCGTTTGTCCCCCAAATCACTAGAGCCTGGTGAAAAGATGAAGGGACACATCTAATTGAGTGGATCCAGTCACGGCCTAACAGAGCGTTGTAAGACCCTGTAGTATCCATTGTGAACAAAGCCGACACAACTGCTTGAGAACCCAACTCCACTTAATTGGAAGTATTCCTCGAGTACTCGTCACATCTCCTGTGAAGCCACTAACTGCAATCTTAGTGGGAACTAAATCCAATTCTTGTTTCTACTAAATCCCTAACCTTCCTATTAATAAAATATTAGTCGACAATGGTGCGGCTGTAAATATTATGTGGAGGTAGGCATAATATTTACAGCCCCACCATTATCAACTAATATTCTATTAATAGAGACACCATTTAGCGAAGCCTGCACATACAGCGACTTCACGTGATCAGTAGATATTGAATCTGGCATAGAAATGATCACTGTTGGTGAAGTCCCATCGGTTGTTATCCTGATTCCCAATACCTCTTTGGGTTGCCGATTAACTTTCGGCGCAACCGTCTTCTCTGGTTCATCAACCTTCACTTCAAGCATCTTTGCCATGGCTTGCCTAGTAACATACTCTTTAGGCAACACGTAAACCATGTTCACATCCATACTATCATGCTTCTTGACTCGCCACTGCTTAGTCACTCGAGGCTATTTACTATGTGCATCGTAAGGTGACTGCTCAAACTCTCTTTTTTGCTTCGAATCCTGATATCTTCCTGCCTGTTTACGCTGCCACCTTCGACGCTAAGTTCGTGTCATGCCACTACTTACTGATACAGGAGTTGGAAATCTAGGATGCTCTACTGTATGCCACAAGTGGTCGGAAACCTGACTGGGCCTCACCATCCTAGCCGTTGCACTACTCATAGAAGGCACAAATGGTTGGGCGGATCTTCCAAAGCTAACTCCTTGATTACAACCTGGCCATGATAACCTATCTTTAACTATTCTTGACTCGAATCTCTCATTCCCAAATCCTTGGGACATGCGTAGACCTAACCGCTCATGAATCGGCTGTCTTGGCACTAATCTGTTGGCATGTTGATCAACATCTTTATTTATCAGCACGGATGCTCCGCATGCCTATTATGAAGAACCTATGTTAAGGAAGTTGCTATTTTTTGTTAATAAGTCTCCTGTGATTTTTGCACTTGCGGTTTTCTAACACAAGTTTGCAGCTGTCCATCCACTTCAATGGTTATCTCTTCTTCTGTTTGCTGGGAAAGAACTTTCCGTTGATGTAAATGCCCACCATTCGCGCATCCTATGCGGAAAACTTGCTCTTTCATTGAATCAACCACTCGATCACAATCTTGACAACCAATACTTATCTTTTGTCTGGCATAAGCGGCTGCCCGAGGATCCACATTTATCTTTCCAACTACATGGTTCACCGGAAACGGTTCTATCATTACTGCCACTGGTTCTTCCACTTGGATATCCCCACTGAAGTGCTCCGGCATCTTACTTGTTTGCTTTTCTTGCGCTAAGAAACTCGGTGTGATGACACTCAATTCTGCTCTCATTATATCCTTAGTAAACACAGACTCGTTGGTTGCTGTTTGCCTTGGTGAGTTATCTGGCGTCAGCCCCTTTAAGGTCTGGGTTGACATTTGTGCTAGAGCCGCCGTGCTTGCCTATGGTAGTGGTGGATCGGGAGGAATCACATCCGTTGTAGCTACAGTAGACATCCTGACTTAGTTAGCACAGAATTGTATTACCCCACTGGGCGTGCGAAAAATATGTTTGCACAATTTTCGTCCTAGGAAAATCACACAATATATCTTTCAAACAATTGTGCGTTGTTCTGAATAACCTGCGCTAACAAATTGAATATATGAATTTCTCGGGAAAAATAAGAATCTGCTAAAAGCCAGATTTTATTATAATCTTTGGACGAATAAGTACAACCGCCAATAATCGGCCTAATTTGAGGAGTTTTCGAAGAACCCTAGCTTTAGAGATGAAATCGAAAATAAAAGATTGAAAATTAAAGAAGCAATTTGATGCTACTTTGATTGTGTCCTTCCTTCTACCGCCGATCTCTTGAAATAGTTTTCGAATCCTATTCGATTCACAATTCTAATCCAACACTAACTAGGCCTCTTTATTCAAATCGGATCCTAAGCCTTCTAAAAGTCTGATTCGTGGCCTTTCACTTCGCCTAATCCGGCCAAATTCTTACCAAGCTCTTTAAAGCCCAGCCGGAAAAAATTGACTCAAGAGAATCATAATTTTTTTTTTGAATGAAGAAAATTTTTATACACTCAGTATTCAAAATTTATCCCGACTAATCTAATTGAAATCAGAAAAGTTCTAAATGTTTCATATCAAATATTTGAATTACCACGCGATGCTCGTATCAAAATAGAATTATCCCAGTCATTTAACTTATATGGTACCTTAACAGTGACCAATTATCCAAAAGTATCCATTTGCTTACTGTTCGATTCTTTTCAGTTTCATTACTACTAAACTATTACTACAAAATTTAAATTAATTTCATCGCTGAAAAAGAAAATATTGAATTACAAATCCGAAAAAGATAGCTAGTGTTAAAGTCTACTCTCAACCGAAAATTATTAAAGGGGTCATTTATTGAAATTCAATATGAATTCGTAGCTTCAAATATAGATGCAATAATAATGACTATCTAACACACTAGTTTCCACCTTTCGCAAAATTGTATAAACATGCAGTCATTTGCAACCTAAGCAGTAAGCATT